TTTGTAGCATGAATAAATAAACTAGTTTGTATTGACTAGATATGGACAGATAGCATTTTGGAAAATACTGGATTTTATTTCTTAAAAAAAATAGTAAATAGATGAAGACAGTGGTTGCTATGTGAGTAGGATAAAATGTCACAGTCAACATGGTGTAGATAGGAACAGCTCACTTGTATATTGAAATGTCTTGTCTGTCTTGTAATATTGTAACAGTTGAACTTGTTGTTCATCAATAAATGCCGTATGGCCCGTGGCCCCCTGGATAGGGGCCAGAGCGAGGAACATATGCCCAATTTTTGTCAGAAAAAAGCCGTATGGCCCGTGGCCCCCTGGTTAGGGGCCAGAGCGAGGACCCTATGCCCAATTTTTGTAAGAAAAAAGCCGCATGGCCCGTGGCCCCCTGGTTAGCGGCCAGAGCGACGGACCCATGCCCAATTTTTGTAAGAAAAAAGCCGCATGGCCCATGGCCCCCTGGTTAGGGGCCAGAGCGAGGAACCTATGCCCAATTTTTTCTTGGATTGTGAACCAAACAAAAGTTATTTTCCTTCAAGAATGAACAGGCATGACTGTAAATGTAGTTAAACCTTCGGTGACACTTTTTTTAGCCACCCCAGGATGTCTAACGCAGAAGTGAGGGAGAGGACCAGGAAGAACGATGGAGAAAGTGGAGAGAACACCACCGTGAGTACATCACTGTTTCTTTTCTTCATCAGTCAGGATGAAATTCTGTATCTTTCTGTATACTGTTAGCCAGCATAACCACCCTTTGGTGTAACACACCAGCTTCACAGGCATGTGGAATGGCAGCAGCTGGCTACATTACACCGAACAACTTGTTAAACCTAACCCTTGGCCTATCCAGGTCAGAACATCTAACACTAAATAAACATTTTTAAAATTAGCTAGTATGTAATGATAATGTCCCTACTGTAGTTGGTGACAGCAAGTTTTTGAACACTTCAATCCTGGGTTGATAACTGGTACGTAAAGGCAAGAAATGAACTTGGCACAAGGTGTTACCAGGGCATACCTCAGATCCGTTGATCTGATTTTCAGGTAATCCTGGGCACACATAAAAAAATTACATTCATAAAAAATTACACAAGTTGAACACAACAATATACACATAATGTTACAAACATTTACATGTACAAAACAGTCGCAGTATAGGCACATTTAGTTCATTCATTTGCCAGGTTCAGTCGTACAGTCTGCAGTCCTCTACAACCTATGACTTCATAGCTCACAAAAACACCAGGTCCAGGTAACAATGCGGTCGCAAAACGCTGCCTACTGACACTTGTGTCTCCCCTAACCTAATATGGAAGACAGGAAAGAAGCTCATGTGTGTACAATTTCTACTCACTGGTTTCAGGAAAAAGAGGAGCACAAAAAACGATAACTGCACAAAGACTGCAAATTTGTTGGTACTGTTTGATCTACAGTGTTCGGAAACGCTTTAGAGGCCATGAATGTAAACATCAGACACGCGCTGTACATGATGCTCGGTCTGTTCCACTGCCATAATATTGTTTACGGAACGAAATAATATATTTGTGTTTGTGTTTGCGCTACAGGAAAGCACTAGATCCACCTAGTCTTAGTTACAGGTGTCATTAACCAGGCAGGTGGTGTGTATCTATCTGTAGGGTCAGACCAGGCATGGACGGAAGAGAACAGGAGGCAATGGAGAAAGACGAGGAATCGAGTAGGGGGACGAGGATGAAGACGAGAAGGTAGAGTACAGAAAACATAAAAATAGAAGTGATGTTACACACAGACAAGCCCCACAGTGCATATTTTGGTGTTATATCTGTAACGGGCATTTTCCTCTAGCTTGATGTAGATTGGTCCACCCGTAAGATGACCTCCTTGCGGCAGGACAGCTCGGTAGTCTTTTATTACATGTATCTGTACATACTTTGAATGTTTTTTTTTCAGATGTGTTTGTGCCATGTTATGTGTCTGTATACTATGGGCCGTTGAATCTGAAATAAACAATAAACAAATGTGAGCTATGCACAAATAGAGAAGATAAATGATATATCTTTTTATAACTTTACACTGAGAGACATGAAAAGAAGTGAAATATCAGTATGACGGATAAATGAAGGGATAGGTGTTAAATCTTCTCACATGCCGAGTGTTGTTCTGATTGACTGGGTGTTGACAGTTGTTTCTCCTGTTCCTGTCTGCCGCCGCTATAGGAGCTGTGGAACGCTGCAGGAAAAGGAGACACGGACAGAGTGAAGCAGCTGCTAGCGGAGGGAGTCAACCCTAGTGCTGCTGGCCGTTGGGTTTGTTACAATGTCTTTCGTCAATTTGCTTTTATATGGTGATGGAACATTTAAGGCTGTGCCATGAAAATCAAGAGGCGTAATAGGCAAACCGCTTATAGAAGACATAGAGGGGAAGGGGAAAGCCGCACTGGTCGCTTCACCCGTCTTCAGCTTTCAGCTTGTCTGTAACATATCCGTAACGACTTCGAACTTTTTTGGCAAAGCAGTATTTGGAATTTTCCTTAGTTGTACCAGTACCTTAAGGAGCTCCTAATTACTTCTACTAGTTTACTTAAGCCCGCCTAACTTGCGAAGTTGTGATCTAAAGTTTTCATTTGCTGTGTCTTTGTCATGATAGAGCAGTGAGTGAGTTGTTGACGAAAACAGCTAAATTTTTGCTGTTTTGCTCCTTCTTCGCTCCCTCACTCTTCACCATATGCGTGTAAGACGTAGCGTGCATAGTCAGACATGGACGTCCGTGATGTACTGTAAGTCCATGTTGGCCTGCCAAGGTTACTTCGTTATCTTTGTTGAAGCTGTCTGGCACTTGGCACATAGGATCTTTGATGCAGACGTGCCGCGTGACGTGCCGAGCTGCTGTAGTCGTTCATAATTTGCTGGGTTGTGATTTAACGTCTCCACTTGCTTTCTCTTTAGCTGTTTTCCTCAACAGCTCACTCATTACTTTCTCACTCTTCATCAGGTAAGATATAACGTACATGATATACATGATACAGGCATGAACATCCGTGATGTACTGTAGGTCTATGTTTTGTTGTCTCTTTAGCTGATTTTCTCAACAACTCACTCATTGCTCTCTCAGTCTTCACCATGTGAGATGTAATCTACATGATACAGGCATTCATGATGAACTGTAGATCTATGTTGGCCTGCCAAAGCTGCTTTCCTAAACATACTTCTTTTTTTTTCTCACTCTTCGTCATGTAACACGTTACGTACATGATACACGCATAAACGTCCGTGATGTACTGTATGTCCATGTTGGCCTGACAAAGAATGTACTGTAGGTCTATGTTGGGCTGCGGACTTTGCAGGATATCTTTATTGAAGCTGTTTGTTTGGCCTGTCTGTCTGTGTGTGTCTGTGTACTTGTCAGTGTGTTTACATTTATCACTGTCCATCGGTACGTCGTAAAGTCACCAACCACCAAATTGCAAAATCTATTATAAACTTTTAATATGCCACAAACCAACACACAAATATGCAGTCACCATTAAAACCTACTTACTTTGTCAATATTAAGCTACTTCCTACCATTAAATGAATGAATGAATGAATGAAGTACATGAAGTCAAGCCAAAGTACATTAAGTCAAGCCAAAGCACATAAAGTCAACTCAAGAGTACATAAAGTCAACTGAATTTAAACATATAAACGTGGCAGGGAAAGAGGAAAATGAAAGGAAAAACAAGACTAACTTGTTGTAATCGTTTTTTATGAATAAATGTACGGCTTACGTTTCTTTCCAAACTTGAATGTATAAAGTAATTGTTGAATGTATAAACTAATTCTAAATACACCCTCATTAAACAGCCAGTTAAGTTTTATCTCATCTCTTTCTCAGATAATATCGGGTCTCTTTCTGTACCAAAAAGTGTTTCACGCAGGGTGTCGTATATACAATCACACAAGGAACAGATTCTGAAAGCCGTATGCAGACCATAGCTATACAAGAAATCAGCTGAGCAACAACAGTAACCGCTTGCGCCTACAAAATAAGCCTATCATAATATTAACCCTACCTAGACCGGGCTTTTTT